GCTCGCAGTGGTCGCATTTGTGACCATCTCGTGCTGCATAAAGAAAGACTCGTCAGTCAAGTATGTGTTGCGTTGATTCTATTTGAAAACACTACCACCTCTAGCATTCCCTATTCATGAGTCGAGACAACATTTTGCTAAGGTTGCGGTGACAAAAGTGCAGTAGTTTGTTCTCCTCCGAGATCTTTTCCAGGTGTGAAATGACTTGTGGCCTGTTTCAGCAGCCTAACTACCGGCTGACTCAATTAGGAATGGTTCTTTTGGTAGGTAATTAGGTAATTAGCTAGTCAGGTCTGCATTTGTGAGTTCAGTGGGACAGCTAGTCATTAGTCATAGACGTGAAGTCGGACAGTGAGTCCGCCGACAATTGTGGCCTCGTGTGCGATTGTGAAATGAAGCGGAGTGGTTTCTACTACTTCATTATTCAGTGTGAGGTGGAGTGAGCGAGGGTGCATGGAGAGACGGGGTGGGTATTATGTCTCCCCTTCAAACTAAGGCATGGAATTCATTCCAACTTCCCTTTGAAGACTGAATTGAACACCTTGGAAATAAATAAGGAGAGATAATAATATTGCTGTGAGAACACTTCTTCAGATGCTGACATTTTATTAGTTTGCATAAATTAGCCCTAAATTCAGGTGGCATTCCTCTTATTGCGCTGTCTAACATAGCACTGCCTTGAAAATATTCAACATTTACATCTTGCACGATTAATCTGCTCGAGCTTAACTCAGTCTGCGAACTTTCTGTGCGACTCTGAAAACGGATAGGGAATTTGCGTTTCAGTTGGAAGGAACAGTTTGAAATTTCCACTTACTGCACACTTCAAATGAGCAAAATAAGAGGGGACCAAATTGAACTATCGGTGGTGGTTGGACTCGTTTGTGACGACGAGGTGGTGTAATGGGTTGAAATGAGGCGTCGACATGTCTATGTGAAGGCACAAACGTAGTCCCCCGACCCTTTGCCTTGTGCAAAAGAGAACATTATACTGGGATAGAATGCTGTTTGTTGACGGATTCCATGTCGTCCAGTGGCGGCACGATCGCGCAGTTTAACAAGCAATTGAAGTATTCCATAGTTGCTAAAGTCAGTGGTAGTCAGCGTCCACACACATGGTTAAACTTTATACTTGTGGGATCCTGACAAGCATTTGGCGTTCGGAAATCTTGCCTTCTACTTCAAAGTCTGCATGTACTACATTGATACATGATTTCGTCTGTATGGAAACATAGCATATGTAGAGAAAATCGTAGTAACTTGTCCTTGACATATTTCATCATTATTTTAGAGCTACAAATTATGGAGCCAATCAACAGATTATAAGGTATGATATTTTCACCATAGATTCACCTTACTTTATCGATGCAATCCCCAACTCGTCCTGCCGCCAATATTTGGTGCTGTAAGATGGTGGAAATAGACAGGCTTTCCAGATTTCACCGCCAAAATGGAAACCTTAGGAAAGGACACGGTC